GGAATGCAGCAAGACTAGCTTTGACACTGCACCTCCTGAAATGCCTGGACTGTCATTCTCTGCCATCATACATGGTACCCAAAGTCTTGGTCTCCCTTAAGACAGTCCCACGTTTCCCTATTAGGTGCCTGAGCCTCCAATCAGGCTTCCAAATGTGAGAAATGATAGCATGGGCACTAAGAACACAACTGTCATTTCTGTGGTTGCAAAAGGTTGTTGTTCTAGGTAATTAAAATTAATTTGAATAATTATATTGATTAAAATATGCTGCCTGCTATTTAGGGGTACCTGTTAGAGATGAAGACAGAGAAAGGGCAGTCAAAGACTTCTCACAGATGCAATTCATCACATGACTACCATTGCTTCTGTCACTACCTTCTGTATTTTTTGACAAAGCAGCTCCAGATAAGTCTCTACTTGCATAAAGCCTTGTACATGTTGGATACAAACTAAATCTGTCCTTATTCTCGGTTATAACTGGATTCACTTTGTGTCTAGTCAACTGCATAGGAACAAAAGTAGCTCCTGACCCTTCTGGAATCTTAAATCAAACATAGCATGGTAAGGTCCAAACCCATAAAAGATAAAGACGTTTAGTTATCTGAAGGCATATTAGAAAATATTCAACTTTGTAGGACAAAGTTTCTTACAACTCACCTGTCCCTGAGAATTGTCCAAAGCTCTCCACCTAGACAGGCTTCCATCAGCATGTACAGGTACTTGCTGTCCTTGAATGTCCTGTAGAGCCTGTTGTTTTCAAGCAAAATCATAAATAAATCCACCGTATGAGTGAAGACACCAAGCATTCCCACTTCATCCCAGGAAGCACCACAAGACTAAAGCTATCTTTCAGAGTTAGTGCTACATTTAAGGAGATCATTTCAATGTCTCTTCTTGGGTAGGAAATACTTCATTAGGAAAAAGGATGGGGCACCTGAGTGGTAAAGTGTATCACGGACCTCAGAAGAAGAGGTCATGACTACTCTGAGTGCTACATATAAAATCTGCCATTTCTAACAGTGTAACCTGACACTTGGCTTTCCAGACATGGTTTAAGAGTTTTCCTTCTATTTTTTATAACATCCATATCATCTTGTTCTTCACACTACGAGTCCAGCTGCAGATAGGCAGTCTTATTTCCATTTGATCATTTCAAAGGAGTGCTGCCCAATTTGTGATTCATTTCAGAACATAAACCCACTGATGTGGTAGAGTTTAAAGAGAACCTGCTGACATGCAGGTATCCTTTTGTGAAGTGCTCTTCCTCTTCCCCCTCCAGGGACTCAATATGGAGGAAAAATTGCCTAAAGGGATAGATGGGCCAGTCTTTATGAACCTGTCCTCCTCAGGTGCAATCTATAATGTGTGGCAAAATCCATGCTCTGTGTTTAGTATGATATATTAAACAAGTACAATTATAAAATTATGAAAACAAAAGTAGGGAATTCAGTATTAGCTGGTTTACTTAATTTTAACGTTGAACTACTTTTGTACCTATTACATGAGTAGGTATATCAGTTTAGGTTGCCTGCAGAAACAAGCCTGCTGTATGCAGATACTGGAAAGGTTCTTTGCAGCTGCACTGTTTAGAAATTAATTTTAAAAATCCAAGCTCCACAGCAGGAGGGGATGCTGAGGGATATGGTGCAATTGCTGCATTCATGGGAGTTACCAAGAGTTAAAAATTAAAGGGCCAATGCAACATGATACAAATTAAAACAGGTGGTTTTGCAGATTCTAGCTCTTCCCAGCTAGTGATAAATCCACTTACTAATATCTGTTATGACGCTGTGTGATAGACCAGTGAGACAGCACAGCAGGATTTGTTCCTTTCTAAGGCATACAGTTAAATATTAACTTAAGGTACATGGCAAAACATCCTGGCAGCTACAGCTTGGCTCCGATACGCTTTCACATCAAATACTGGACAACATTTGTCTCCTGTCTGTGTTTGTGCAGCATCCAGCACACAGCAGCAGTTACCCACTCTATTTTTACCATGTTTAAAAGGCAAAGATCCCAGCAGCCGCAGCTGTGATGTAGGCAGGATTTTGGGTACTGAATACGCTTAGTCCTTATCTATCTGAGAAATATTATGTACCTGAATATTCTGCTTGCTACCACAACAAAATTTAAAGAAGAAACCCAAAAAAACCCAGTATTTCAGATCTTTCTTACTCTAGTATTACCTATGTGACATTTAAAGCCACAGTTATAACGTGCTTCTCAGAAAAAGTTGGAACAAACCTACTGACCATCTCATATGGTTAAAATTTATGGGTTAAGAAAAAGAAAAATATCTTATTTCTTGCCAGTTGGACAAAACATGATTCATCTTAGCAAATATTTAATCTAGACTGTTCGCAGAAAATGTACATATTCAAGAATCCAAAATGTGAGTAACTAAATACATTTTATTTAAATGCTACTGAAATAAGGCATACTTTCTCTAGTTAAGGTAGACCTGCTGAAAAATTGCTTTCCAGAAAATTCTATGCACATCAAATTTGGCCTAAAACATGCAGAACAAAAAAATTAATAAAATATTATTAATCATAATGGAAGCATAAAGTTTATACATGATGAAATCATGCTGTTTCAGCAGATCAAGCAGTCTTAAGTTTGAAATGTCACAATATTTGAATTCGGGGTTTTTTTTCTTTATTCATCTAAATATTTGCAGATCCAATGCAGACATACACTGCTTAACACTTGTTTGGCCCTTTACCAAACCCAGATCATTTTGTTCTGTGAGATTCTTAGTTTATCTAAAAGTAAATTTTATTTAGCAGTACTTGGCCTCTTCTGCTTCTTTTGCCTGGTTTAATGCATTTTAGTAATCAAACAACTATTCTTCAAAGATTTCTGAAGAATATATTTTGAAGAATATTTTGAAAATTCATCAGTTTCATGATGAATTAAGAATATAGAGTTATTTGGGATTTTTTCCTTCCCCATTCTGTTATCTCAGAGGTTGTGTCCTTGCTCCAAGGCCATTTTAAACCCACCTTTCACCCAACATCTCAAAATACTATTAATCTACTGAAATGATAATATTTCTACCTGTAGCACCCAGAAAAATATCATCCCAGCTGGTCCAAGAAAGGTATAAGCAGGTTATGAATGATTTTAGAATAGTAACTATAAGACAACTTAAAATCCCTGTGAATGTGCAAAAGAGAAGCAAGGGGGAAAAGCAGACACAGAATTTGATAAACCAGGTATTTTCTAGCTACAGCACATGGAATAGCAAAAGGGTGAACTTTATGACTTAGAAAGTCCCTTCCCAGTGCAGGATTTACATGGAGTATTAAAAATAGTTAAGGGAAGCTTGTTACTATAAAGGATGGGAATTGCATGATATGGAAGAAAAAGACATATTTATAACACATCCTTTTTTCACTTGCCTGCCGAAAGAATAAAAAGTGGGAATGAAGTATTTATTTCATTTGCTATGAATATCAGTGGCTCCATTAAGAAACATTTACAGACTCGAGCTTTTTATTTAGGAGGGGATATTTCTGGAAATGATGTCAAAATGTCGCTCCACTTGGCTAGCCTTGCACTTCATCTCCCTTTATATCCCCATCATGAGACAGTGCAGGCTTCAGAAGATAAATCTATAGGCTGAAATAGCCCGCAAGATATATTTGGCTCTAGCCTAAGTAATGGGGGCATGTTTGTGAACTGAATATTACAGAGTGAAGGAAACTGCAGCTGGGTAGGGTACTGGGCTGCAGTTGTCACCCATGAATCAGAGGTGAAGCTGTGGGCTCTGGGGGAATCCCAGGGATCAGCCCGGGAAGGAAACACCCCCCTAGAGACTGATGGGTGGCTGTCCCAGCCACATGCTTGCCTTTGCATTTATCACAGGGGTTTGGTTTCACCCCTATGTTAGTATGTCTCTCTGTAGCAATTTTTGGGAGCGGGGTTGATCTCTGGCAAAAGGCTAGTGTTTCAGGCATCTCTTTGAGGGTGGGACTAAGCACCATTGGCTTAAATGAGAGGCTGCCCTTTTAGATACCTCCAGCTGGGTGAAATGCATTGCCCTGCTAGAGTTTCACCCCACCCACTGCCCTTATCCTCATCTAAAGCATATAAAGAACCATCTCCGTTTCCTGTTGACAGATAAAATCCTTGAAGAGTCAGGTAACTTTGCTATTAGGATTAAAACAAAAATGCCTGGAACCTGGTTTTATTGACTGAAAAATTGCTTCTGCTTAGGTTTGGTGGAGCAATATGGCTTTCATTCATTTGCCCATGTTGAGTCAAGGGATGCTGAACTAGATTTACCTAATCCACCCTAGAGAGAAGCGCTGGCTACAAGTCTTTATTCACATGGCAGTGCATGATCTCAAAAGATGAAATCCTACCTTCAAGCTTTCTTTTGTTGGAAATAAAACTCAGAAATTCAGAATAAAAAGGAAGATTAACCTTGAGCAGGGTCAATGCCAAGTCATGGTGCATATATCTACATGGAGAATCACCCATGTGATCACCCAGAATCAGCAAGCTCTGCCCAGACTGCAGGCTGGGGGGTGTGCTTGCTCCAGGAGCCACAAAGCCATGTATGCTCAGCACGGGGCCAACACAAATCAGTTAAGACATGAGTTAAGTCTAGGCTTGGGTGGATATCCCCCATGGGCAGAGTAATCTCATGTTTGCCTGGAACAGACTTTATTCCATGCACTGTATTTGCAGTCCCTTGCAGGAAAGCTATGGCTAAAGGATTTTTGTTGTGATGGATGGATTACTCCTATATGCTTTTATGAAATCCCAAGGTCAACTGTGCTTCACCCCCCTGTAGCAGCACGTAAAGCAGAGGGATGGTACCTCACAATGAAGTCTGAGTGTGCGCTCTGCATGATCTGCTTCTCTGAGCGGATGTGCTCCTGCTGCCTTGTGTCCACAATGTGACGTTTCTTCAGTATTTTCATAGCAAATGTTTTTGATTCTTCACTTTTCAACTGGACCTTGGGCAAAGCAGGCAAACAAGATGGTTAGAAGCAAGGCAAATCCCTCTGCCAAACTGTGACAGTCCAATTGTATTGGGATGCAGTAATCCCACCACCCTACCTTCAAATAATTTCTCTCACTTCTTCAGACATCAGCTTCACTTCAGTATGAAAGAGATTTCTAAATACTTAGCCTATTGCTAAATTGAAAAGCTATTTCTAAAACTCCAATGTGTTTAGGGAAAACCCAACCATCAGCATTACCTTCAAGTCAGATGATGTTGCTAGTTAACATACAACTTTCACAAAGCCTTTTTCTATAGCTACTAACAAACGCCCATGCTCTAGCAAGGAAATGCAGTTCTTGGATGTTTGCAGAGGATGAGCAGAGCTGGCTTTTCAATGGAACTGCTTGGTCATGTCTGTACATTCAACTTTAAGCCTCAGCAACCTGTTTTTAGCCTTATTTCCCAAGACAAGGTTGAAGAAAGTTGCTTGCTTGCTTGTCAGTGTAACACTGGTAACTTCTGAACCCTAAGCCATCCCCAGCCCACCCTGAGGAACTGGTACCCATCCCAAAGAGAGCTGGAAGGCAGCCATCCTTTCCATTTTGGCCTTACCATCTTAGTCACCACCAAACAAGAAAGAAACCTCGTCATTGACCTACCAGGCCTCTTAGTTTACTAAATTACCCCAGCAGCTGTTCACAATAATATTGCCAGTTAAATGCTTTGCCTCTTTATAGTAAGAAGTGCCATTTGGCAACTTCTGTTTTGGTTTTCTTTTAGGAATTTGGCTTCTGCCAGCAGACAAGTGTCTTGTCTGTTGGCAAACCCCATCATAAATCCAGCTTTCCTTTTAGGCTAGGAGACAACATTCATGCAATCACAATTTATTTAATATAATATCTATTTTTATATTCTCTTGGTAACAGAAATATGGACTGATACAAGACATGGCACCTTCCATGTTTTTCCCAGGCTGTATAGCATAACCTTGAGTAGTTTCCTCTGCATCTGCTTTGTTCATGTAATGACTCAGGTCACAAGGAAAGTGCAAAGAAGGATTGTATCCTCAGTATCCCATCTCTGTCAGAGACCAGACTGGTATTCTGATGTCCACAAAGACACAGCTTAAGAAAATCAAACTCCAAAGGCTGATTTGCAGCTGGCAAACAGATTTCCAAAATCACCACAAGTGATACAAAAATAAACCTTAATAAATGAGAGTCTATGGCCAAAGTTTTCATCATTAGGTTCTGCAATATGTACGTATGTATGTGTGTATTTTTCTATCTGTTTTAAAACCACCTGGGGCTTTGGTCTTAGGATTTGTGGTTTCTTATTTTCCCTGCAGCCATAAGCATTTCCAAGCCCACATGAAACTTTTCTTTTTCCAAAGGCGCTGTTCTGTATTTCACACAGAGACTCATAATTATTATCTTTGCATGAAGCTGGTGTTTGCCATTTAATCTTCAGGGAGACAGGGTACAAAGACTTAAACAATCCACATAAAATAAAGAAAAACATTTTTCCTCATCTATGCAGTAGAGCTGCAAGTTATTTATCGAACTGGTGCTACATGGTGCTGCCTTCACTATGTGGCTTGACCACAGCTCAAAGCAGAAAGAAATTTTGCATTTATGTAAGACTGAAAGTGAATAAAAACATTTTTGGTTTAGGATTAGTGTTCTTTCTTTTTTTGTTTTTTCCCCAATTTTGAATAAATGGCATATGGACTTCAGTTCAACTGTTTGAACTATTTGAATTATTTGATAGTATTCTGTCTAAGTCAAAACAGGCTGTTTCAGGGAAGTAGGAAGAGGAGTGAGGTAACACACATGGAATGAAGACATGATGAAACTTAAGGTAAAATCTGGGTTTAGTGTGACTAAGCATATACTTCTGGAGAACTTATCCCTTTTGCTTTTGATGGTAATCCAGATTGCCTGGTTTCCCATCAGACCTGTCCATCTGGTAGTGGACAAGCAGAATCAGCTGCCACACAAATTATTTCAAATAGAAGTCTGTGCAAATCTTTGTTAGATGTTACACATCAGATTTGTTTTCTTTCAGTCTATATTTTTTAAGATCAGGTTGTCCACTGACAAACAATAATGAACAGTGGAACCAAGAAAGTAGCTCCAGTAGCAAATTTATCAGTGAATTTGAACATGAAATATTAGAAAAATAAAAAAGTATTTAGCACTCTAAATTTACTTCAAACATTTCCTAATGTTAATCCTCACTAGACATCAGTGTTAAAAATAAACACAACAACCTGGTGGAGGCTCAGATGAATAAATTCCAATATTACAGAATAAAGGGTACTATAAATAAATCCCAGTGTGTCTTGTTATGATATTACCACTTTAACACCATTGATTCTTATTACCTAATTTTTTGTGTCTTTCATTAAAAAGGATATTTATTTTATTAATCACTGTTTTTTTCAGGGAATTTTTTCAGGGCTATGTACTTACACAGCTACAAAATAAGTACAGAAAAGGAAATTACTATAAGGAAGCAGAAGGCAGTGGTGTTTGATGGTGTCATCACTGCCACAATTATTTAAATATAAAACCATCAGGTGGCTACAATTAGCTAATGCAAGACTTTGACCTAATGCCACAGGAGAATTTAGATCAATTTTCCATTCCCACTCCTGTTGTGCTTCATAAGGCAGAAGACTTGTGCGAGTTTGGGAGCATGGGGTCATTAATTTGCATAAAATGTGCTGATACACCAAAATAAGCTGCTGAGGTACAAAGGCTTAAGTTTTGGACCACCTGATTGTCCACCTAGAAGATGAACCCTACTGACTTCTCTTTATTCAACATGCACGAGTCCTCTCCTTGCTTTGGTGTTCCTGCCAAATGAGGTGACTGTGAGGGCTATTTTTATGATGTAAATCTAGGGAACCCCATGTAACTCATATTATTCTTGCAAAGAGTAAGTTTTAATATTAAGTTCCTGATAGTTCATAGAAAAAAAAACCCCTCATGTTTAATACCAATCTCATTTCAAAAGAAGAAAAAAATATCTAGGAGTCACCTGGATATTTAATATAAAAAACCAAACAGGATTAACATTGAGAAGATGAGAATGGGCTGTTAAGAACACCCCGACTTTCAATTATAATGAGAAAAATAGCTCACAGAGCCACAGAAGCCGCAAGGATTTTGACTCTTGGCTCAAAGGCGGGGATATTCTGGGCAGGAAGCTTGGCCTCCCTAAGAAACCCACTACAAAATCTCCCAAACAGTTCTGAAAAGGAAAAAGGTTGCAACTTTCCTTGGAAGGCAGTTTGCAAAGGAGTTTTCCTTGCCGCACAGCTCATGAGATTAGCGTTCACTCACTTGGAAGCAACATCTGATATTTCAAAGGCCCCAGGACTATTGATTCAGTGGAGACCTGCTGAGCCCTGGTTTTCAATCCCTCTTCTTGAAGAGCAGCTGAGCCACTAAAAGGATCAACACAGCATAACCACCAGCCTCCATCTCTCTCAACTTTTTTTTTTTTTTGCAAATTAAAAGAATTTCTGGTCCCTTCCCTCCTCACTTTTTTCACTCCTCTACTCACGTTGACCTTACTCAGTCATTGCCTTTTCATCAGCACAAAAATCTCCCAAATTATCTCTCTTAGAGACAATTATCTCTTAGAGAAATTATCTCTAATTATCTTTATCACTGATTGTAAGAGCAAACATCAAGGCCACTGGAATGTTGACATAGAACAATAGTATTAAAGTCATGTATCTGCTGAATACAGGCAGGGAAAAATTAGAAGTAACATTTATAGCACTGAATATACTCCATCCCTTTCTCTCCACCTTCATACACACATTTCAGTTTTCAATTTTATGTCCATCTTATCACTGAGCTCTGGCACATGGTGCATGGTTGCAATTCTGCCTCCAAATTGCATGGATTGCAAGCCATAAAGCAAGCCTAACAGCAAATCTACACCAAGAGCAGACTCATACCATCCATTCCAGTGCAATAAACCCCCAGATAGCAAACTCTGGTAAAGCTGTAGTTACTACTGATGCTCTCCTGGTCAGATGCCCTCCTGGTGAATCTGCTTGAGCTCTTGCCCTCACTGTTACAAATTAACTTCTGGGGGCGGATATAAGCCCTTTCAGTTGTAGAACAGGAATACATTTTCTCTCCAAAACAAAAAAAATGCAGTAGGGACCATAGTTAAATAAAATACAAACACCACCTTAAAAAGGCGATATACAAAGCCAGAGAGAGAAGAGGTAAAATTAATTAGATCAGGTCATTCTGCAGGATTCTGATCCAGGGAATGAACTGCATCCCAGTGACAAAAATAACAGGAGAAATTTTGTTTGTAAGTAAATAAGCCAATTGTAGAAAGAGAATAAGAAGTAGTTGGGTTCATTTTGCATATATACATATTTGCATAAAGATATAAAATACATATAAACCTATATTGCATATGTTGATATGCATATCAAATAGAAATGTAATATAAATATAGATGTATTTTGAAAAACATTCTGGTCCAAGCACTGTGGTGATGGGATATCACAGTCACATTTGGAGGTGTGGCTGCATCTTCAACCATCAGGTATTAACTGGACAGTGCTAAATGGGAAGAACCATACTTCTCCATCTTTTAGTGCCTTCCTATTGCATGAGCTCATCTCATGAAGAAGCAGCTATTCCTTTCCTCCACATGTGACATCCATCTAGCCCTCTGAAGCAAGGAAGTTCCACAACATCAGTGTGGACAGGAGTTTAAGCAAGCAACTTCCTTCTGCACTAGCCTCATGGCTGCCTTCTCCCTGCCTTGCGGTTGTGTAGGAAGCATCATCCACTCTGTCATGGCCTTTGACCGTGCTTCAGTGTGGTGCTCCATTTCCATGTCACCAGGTGGTTTTTTTGGCAGCCTGAGTCATTGTAACAAAGTTACTCCTGAGCAAACCCAAACGGATGGGTCACTATCTGAAAATACATTTAAGAAGTTCCCTTAAAGAGGACACAAGGACAAAATGCAAATGCAGGGGAGAACAGAAAGACAAAAGGAGAGGAGAAGGAGAGATGGAAAGGAGAAGAAGGAGGACT